GAAGTTGACTGCGACTCATATGACTCTATGAACAATAGAATGAAACACTGCCCAGTCCTGCCCATTCTCACCATCCTTGCTAAGCTTGAGACCATCATTGTTGCCATTTTGTCAGTCCACCTTGTTCAGGGGCTTCCCCTTTTTTGCTGACCCTCTGCTTTACCGAGCATGATATGATTCTCCAGGGAATGATCCCTTCTGACAGCATGACCCAAGGAGGTGAGACAAAGTCTGGTCATTCTCACTTCTAAGAAGCATTCCAGCTGCACTTCATCCAGGATGGATTTTTCATTCTTCTGGCAGTCCATGGTATTTTCAATATCCTTTACCAACACCACAATTCAAAGGCATGAGCTCTTCTTTGATTTTCCTTATTCATTGTCCAGCTTTCACATGTATATAAGGGAATTCAGTATACTATGGCTTGCAGTAGGTGCGCTTTAGTTTTCAAAGTCACATCTTTGCTCCATAACACTTTAAAGAGGTATTTTGCAGCAGATTTGCCCAGTGTAATACGTCATCTTATTTCTTGACTACTGTTTCCATAGGTTTTTATTGTGGATCCAAGTAAAATGAAATCTTTGACAAGTTCGAACTTTTCTCCATGTATTGTGATGTTGCTTATTTATCTAGTTGTGAGGAATTTTATTTTCTTTATGGTGTGGAGTAATCCTTACTAAAGACTGTAGTCTTTGATCCTCATGGGTAAGTGCTTCAAGTCATCTTCATTTTCAGCAAGCAATGTGTGCCCTCTGCATATCACAGGTTGTTAATAACTCTTCCTCCAATCTTGATGCCATGTTCTTCTTCATAAAGTCCAGCTTCTGGTATTATTTGCTCAGCATACAGATTGATTAAGTATGATGAAAGTATAAAAACCTGACACACAACTTTTCTGATTTTAAACCAGCATTATCTCCTTGTTTTGTTAGAATGATTGCCTCTTGGTCTATGCAAAGCTTCTTCATGAGCACAATTAAATGTTCTGGAATTCCCATTCTTCTCAACCTTATCCATAATTTGTTGTGATCCAGTCAAATGCCTTTGCATAGTCAATAAAACATAGGTAAACCTCTTTCTGATATTCATTGCCACAAAAGATACTGTACCAATTGGACCACAAAATTGTATTTCCTCAGGCCAAGGAAAACACTTTACAGCCCATAGGGTGAAACAATAGGCCAAGAAACATAATATTCTATGGACATTCCATGTTGCATACCATCCTCAAAGTTAGTGGTTTGAAAATTGGAAGGAGTATTACATCTAAAACAGGATGATCTGGTTCACATGTGTTCATGAGTGCATACTCACACTAAACATGAGGGGAGCTAATGGAAAATCATCACTGGACAGATTCCAACATTTCTCCAGGGGAAATGGGAAGGACACTGTTGTCACTGTACAATTCTTACCACATCACCTG